CTCAGATCGAACGGGCCAATTCTCACTCCCATAGCGTGGGATGACCCTCATTGTGGACTTGTAAACACGGCCTTTCAGATCAATGACACTTTTTCTAATGCCACCGATGTCGCAGATATAAAAAGGCCTTTCTAGCTTTCGCAAAACATGAACTGATTTCAGCACATTCGTGTCCACCGTTGCCAAGATAAGTGAAATGATCACACATTTCGAGTTCCTTGCTATCGAATGGTAATGAATCGACAAGTGGGTAGTGGTCCTGCAACAATACTGTACTTTGAAGGCGCGAAGCGCATGCCACATGATTGGGTCACTCCAGCGAGATATTCCAAGCATCATTGAACAGCAAGATAGTACTGCCGTATAATCAGGATTTACTAGCTTTTTCCAAGGAGCATTACAAAGCCTGCATTTTGACGTTCCACAAGGGAACAGTCCATGATGGAACCCAGGAAGAAATTGAACAATAATGGTGAGATTGGACAACCCTGTCAAACGCCACTTGTTATCGGGCAGATATCTGCTAAACTACGGTAAATTCTGACGCGGCCTGTGGTGTTCGACGGCAGGGTATGTGACCTTTTCACGTTTCATAGGATCATCTATCCGCACCAACATGTAGAACGAAACTGATCGCTCAACATAGTCGAAAGTTCTCTTGAATTCGAGAATCATAACTATTGTCGGTCTTCGGTACGTGTAGCGCTGATGCAGTACCTGCCGCAGAGTGAATATGTGGTCTATGCAGCTACGTCCTGCGCGGAAATCTTTCTTCGCTTTCATAATCAGAGATTTACGTTCCGCAGTTAGGCGACGAACGATGAATGAGCTCGATAATGTTTTCACCACTGGCTTTGGACTAGCATTTCAGTAGCTAGCACAGTCGGTGCGATCGCCTTCTGATATATTCCGCCATAATCGATTCACGCCAGTAAGCTGGGATGGCCTCTTCCTCTCTGAACAGGAAGATCAGCGCTCTGCTGATGACTTCACTACCATCCTTAACTAGTATTTGTGCGCGAGAATCTGGGCTGTGTTCAGGTTTTGGACCTCCGACGGATCCTCTAGACTAACCATTTATGGTTCAGGCTGCATCAGCTGAGTAGGAAGCGGTGCGGAATCAGTCGACCAGCTTAAGTGACCACTAACGTGCTGCGCCAAAAACCCTATACGACGCTCCTCATTGTGAATAATGGCACCCACGCTGTCTCTGGTTGGCTCACTAACGCCTGGTTTACTGAGATCAGTTGCGTGGATCATTTAGAAGAGTTTGCGATAATTTCCTACTGCTATGCTTTCTCCATTACTTGAGCCCCACTGATCCACTAGGATTGCTTGTTACCACAAAGGCTGCGCTTTATTTCCACTTCTGCTCAGAGAGAGCGGGGAGTTTTTCTGGATTCCAACAGCTTCACTGACCCTTCGCATATCCAGTGACAGGTGCCGTGACGATTTATATTACCGCAAGCACAGACTCTCGGATCGTGCAAGGGGGCCGAGATCCTATTCCATTGGAGCTTAGTGTTATTAGAATGAGAGAGCGAAGCTTCGGTGCGCAAGTGTTTTGGCAGGTTGGCTTGACCGTAAGCTGAGATAACTTCTCAGTTGCCAATCGATGGAGGCGCTTGATACACCCTCATCAAGTAGAGTTCATAGAAAAATGACATGATGCTACAGCATGATCAAAGTCGGCACAAGTACTCCAGAACGAGCGACAATCCAGCGTGGAACCACGCCACTTGTAACATGGCAAAGTGATCTATTTGAGTCTATCTCTGGCGATGTGGCATTTCCGCACCAGCTGTGCCTAAAAGCGGTACTACTAAGAAACAGCCAGTGTTTTGCACACAGTTACGACAGACTCTGGCTCTGTTCGTCCGTTGTGTGGAAATTCCATACTTGCTATCTAACTGAGCTACTGAAAAGCTGAAATGATCTACTTGCGCATTCATATCCCCTGCAAGAATTATGATATCTGAACTGGTAACATTGCGTATTTGTTAGTTCAGTTCGTGCTAAAAAGTGTCCTTTCAAGCATCAGAACTGCGGTCGGTGGGGGCCCAAGCCGAAAGGACGAACAAACAGTGTCTAATTTACATCAAACTGGCTGCACACAAATGACTATTCAGGGAATCCTATCAACCAATGTTGACACTGCTTTGGAGCGGAGATCGATGCCTACCCCAGCTTGACCAGTGTTTGTCGCATCAATGTCTCCGGATGCGGACAAGCAATAACAAAGTAGCGTACCTGGCGCAATTAGTTAAGCAAATCCGTTATATTCATTGATTCTGTTTTCTGACACACAATACACATCAGTGCCCAGCGTGTTCAACGCGCAGCCAGTTAAGCCGGTTTGTCTTAGAATGAGAATGTTGAAAGCCGCCTGGGAAACGGAACAGCGTAGCCATATAAGGAACTGTTGCCAATAAACTTCCAGTGGGTTTTGCGGGAAGATAGCTGCAGATAGTTCGACTCCAGTGTCATTGCGGCTACTGTCAATTAAGCTAGGAGTTATGGAAAGAGTGTTAGCAATGTGGGTCGAGAGGCCAGTAAGCGAAACAAGTAGAAAAGAAGCGTTTCCATAGGTTTGGCATACGGCCAGTTAGTGTATTTGTCAAGCTGTACAACGTTTCGCTTTTGACTAAAAGGCTGCATTAGGCGAAGTCATTCTCCCTGTTAAAGGTTGTAATATGTTCGCCCGATATCTCGCGAGTTCATGTGTGTGTGTGTGTGTGTGTGTATGTTTGTGTGTGTGGAGCCTATACCGTCCACTATAGGTCGCAGGGGGACGTTAAGCCTGTGTATCATTGGTAGAAAGTAAATTCTATGTGGAATAGCCAATTTCGGAAAAGTACTGAACCACATGCCCTTTCCTAAGTTGTCTTTTGCGATGCTTGGGTAAGTACCGACTATCGTATGGTCCTGTATTGTATGGTCCTGTAGTCAAATGCTTCCTTATTTCTTCCAGATGATTTGCTTTATTCATTACCACTGTTACGTTACCTCTATCCGCCCATTTAATAACAATATTAGGGTTCTTATTGCTAAGTGTTCGGCAGGCGCATGATAAGGTTCTGTCGACTGTTGAAATCTAAGTATATTTGTTAATTCTGCGCGAAGTCTTCTGTCCTTTTAACTGCTAATCTAGTCATAGCAGTTTCAACTCTGGGAATTACAGCTGGCTTTCGCTTAGATTTCCTGATAGCAAAACTCAAACCCTTTTCTAAAACCATATGCTCAGTAACACTTAATACCCTATCTGACATATTAACGACCCTACAATAATTCCTATCTTTCGGTATACCTATCGGTCTTATTATTTTTAATCATCAAATGTTCAAATTTACGTATTTGATTTTTCTTCCACTTCCGTTCTCTTGCTGCTTGAACTTCGTAGACCTTACTGACAAATCTGTCATAATCAGCTTGTGTCACCGCGGTCTGTAAGTACTAGCTCAGCTGACTTGGGTGGTGGCGGATTTTACCCAAACGTCTAGTTGTTAGGTAGACGCTTTTTCTCAGAAATGCTTTGCTTGAGCTGTGCTCTATTCTTGTAGAAAGCTACGAAGAATCACAGTGAGGGATTTGGGAAGTATGTTGTTCTAGAGACACAGGTTAGAAATCCGATGAATTTCCAACTTAGCCTCGATGCACATTATCCGTACAAATTCACTTGTCAGTTTGTGAACACGAGGTCCGTATCTGTACCGGATATCTTGGAAAATATCTGCAACTGATCGGGAAATCATTTCAAAAGCTTTGGCAAACCACCGTTTAGTGTACCTGTTAAGCTGTACAACGTTTCGCTTTAGACTGAAAAGCGAAACGTGGAAAAGAAAAAAGGAGGCGCCAGCAGTAGTCTCTTTTTCATTATCCGCCCTGCTGTATGCAGAAGATCAGGCGATCCTTGAAATGCTGCGCGACGGCGGATGCAGGATGTGTTTGAAGTTTTAAGAAATAGTCATGGTTTTACACGGACTATACTGCAAGGACATGCACACCTGCACAAGAGGACAATAAGGGTCATAAACTAAAACCTCTGGATCAAGGGCAGTTCCGCAAGGCAGCAGGAAGTGGCGCCAATTTACTTTTGTAGAAATTACCGCCATCCCATTCTAAACCTCCAATCTGGAGGAGAACCAATTTGAGTTTATCTGACCTCTGAACATTGACTAGCCTCATAGGAGCATTTTTCAAGGTGCACATGGGCACCGCCAGTATGGCTGCTTCTAAGCAGGTAGCAGTAATTTTAATGTATGGCAGCGTTAGGTACCTAGACTGCTTGTGGCAGAGTGCTGCAGAACTATTTCAAATTCCTCTTATCCTAAATTTCTTAGTTTCCACGGGCTCCCGCGATGGTTCTTTTAGGTGACCGTCCTTGATATTAAGTAAATTTTGCTACCCACTCAACTGCTGTTTTCAGATTTCGTAAGCAGTTGGCTGCGTTCAGATGGTATGCATTTCCACCAAACTAAGGTTTAGGAAATGCGAGGCCGCAACTGCTAGTCAGAGCGAGGGTGGACCTCTGCAACGGCCTTCATAGATAACTCAGTTTGTGGAAATCCTCACTTGCCAAATTAGGATAGTAAAATAGCAAGGGATTTAACGTAGCAGTAAACGATCATCTCTACTTCGAATCTAGCGATGAAGATGCCTTATTCATCAAACACTATCAGAAACCGAAGGGTCGCTTCTAGTACAGTGCGCCGGACATGCTCGTTCATGTCCTTTTTTAATGGCCTTCCTCAATAGGTGGTGGTGTATTGCTTTCTAAGGCTCAACTGACATATAAACAGATTCTCACATTTATGATGCTCGAAGCTGGCAGTTAAATGTAGTACACAACCCACGGTGTGGTGCTTATCGAGCTGTTATGGTTAGAATGGAAACAAACAAGTCATTTTTATAATTGGGTGCAACTGACTACTACTACGTATTGGAATAATTTCAAAGCATGCTACGTACATCTGTGACGTGTTCTTAATCGGCTGACTCACTTTTTGGAATTACGATGTTCCACGTCTCGTTGAACTTCGGATTAGGTCCACCATGAATCTTGCTCTCAAACTCCTTGGATCCATCCGAAAGTATAGCCATTGTGAACTGAAAATTAACCATCGTAACATGGAGCATATTGAAACATATATTCCAGGTCGTTGATGACCAGTACAAGTGTATGTCCATATATATTACATTTAATTTAAATTGGACCCTTTCTAAATCAAACTAGACGTGCTGTAAGCCAAAAGGAACAACTTGTATTCTAAGCAGGAAATCAACAGTCGGTAACATGTCAGCAAGCAATGAACGGTACCGCGGCTGGACGATGCTCAGTCCACATTGTGCTTAAGATAATGCAAACTAATTGTTTAAGCAGTCTGGATCAAAAGCGATAACTAAGTTTCCCCCTGTCACCCTATCGGCTTTTGCGTATTCTGTGTACCTGCGCGGGAACCTGTGCATCTGTGCGGCTATTGGAAAGTCCGAATCCCAAAACGTGCGGTCTATCATGACGCAAGCAAACGGTACCTAGTTTTATTATCCGACTGTTGCACGAAACTACGAAAAAAGAATGACAAATGACAAGAAGAAACGTCCTCTCTTGCAAACTATACTGGGCAGCTTGGATTGAGAAAAGTCTAGTTTAAAAGGTAAGCGGTGCATAAACAAGTGATAATACGGTATCGTTAGAAACGATCAGTTGATAAAGAGTCATTGCTGGTTTTTCAGATTCACCATCATATTAAGGAAGTAATTCATGCAGCCCTGCTGCGTTACCCTTCTGATGCGCTCTTGAATGACCGCAGTTAGCGTCTGTACAGGAGTCTGATTGGTCAGCAGGCGTTTCACCAATGCCTTCACCTTTGAAAACACGTTTTTCACTGGGTTTAGTATGTGGGAATATGGCCACAGAAACTTCAGCTGATAGGACGGGCCCAGGATGCGCATTAGATCATCCGGCATACGGATTCTAGCGTTATCCATGATCAGCCGTGAACGGTTCATTCCCACAATGAAGCGTACACGTCTCACAGGCTACTCGACGAAAAGTATGAACTTGCACCATTGCAGGTGCCATCGTTGACAATCTTTGAGTGAACAATTGCCTGGGCATCCATTGCCGCAATAAGGGTCATCATATGATCTCTGACTATGCGCAAGCTAACGTTCGCGCGCGTCCATCTTCTTGAGCTGGCCTCTGTCCGCCGCAGATTAAGGTTCAACATGCTTTCGTCTACAAAATTCCTTTTTCGTTATCATGCGGTGCGTGTACTGAGAGGTGGAGAGCGTGAGTCTGCCGCTTGCGATCGTCATGTTAATGCTGACCTGGTCTAGCTCCTAGTTGCAATTTTTAGGTGTTCTCATCAGCCTTCTGTGGACGTCAAAGAACGTAGATGTGGAAAAATGGATCTCGTTCACTTTAAGCCGCTGATGTATTAGCACCAAAGTATCCTCTGAAAATCGTTCAATGCTGAGCTGCAGGATATCGGAGTCAGCTTCTCTTTGTGGTTTATTCCACAGTTGCGCTGGGTAATGGCACCTTCCGACTGTATGCATTAATGGTGTTTAGTACCGTACTCCCGTTGGCATCGACGACTTCAGCAGCCTCGTGGGTGTTTATGCAGTTGTACACAAGCTTGGTAAGGACCTCATTAGCTCAAGGAACGTCGCTTGTAGTGTCGCTGCCTGGAAAACGCGTCTTCTTGTCGTTCGTCACTCACGCTTATTGGTTTCGTGAACTAGTCGGCAATAAAGCTTAGTAATGTCTAACTGAGTCAAAATAGACCACAGGCTTCAAGAGTTTGATTTTCCAATAGTCGCACACTATGCGTACACACAAGGGTACACGGAATACGCGAAGGCAGATGGACTGACAAGGAGAAACTTAGTCACTGTCTTTGATCGAGATGTTCCAGACTCACTCGATCAGGTGAATGATTTGTACCAGCACCCGCAGCCTAGACAACTCTGCGGCATTAGCATGACCACAATGTGGTCTGAACATTTCTCGGTCGCTCACTCCTCGTTCCTAGCTAATACTTGCTGCTTTTCTGCTTATTATGCCACGTGTCCTGTCTGGTTTTCAGAACGCCCAAATTATTTTGTAAAATGTTATATTACTCACGAGTAGCAGAATTTTAGTTGTATTTCTGATAAAGCTTTCATCCCAATAGTTCACAAGTTAGATAGCAGGGCCTAATCCGAAAAGCGCCAGACGCGTTTCGCCCTATTGGGGCTCGTCAGTGGCGCGTATTCCCTCGGTCCTCTAAGGAGGATCGAAACCATGACCGCTAGAGGCAAACGCCTACTAGCCAGCAGCTTAAGCCACTGAGCCATGGGGGACGTTTGCAGAGCAGATGTTGTCGATGACGGCGAAACTGTACAGTTTATCAAGGCTGTCCAACTGTTCCGAAGAACTCTCAGCCCTACAAGTAGTTGAACTGAGATGTTAGAGCAACTATCTTACATAAATCTACTGTACGGAATGGACGCCATCCATTGGCTTCCGACACCAGCCAGCACTCGGATACAACGCCTGGGGCCGTCTGCACTCCCTTTCTTGTCTTCCTCCATGTTGTTCTGCGTTACTAAAACAATGAGAGTTAACTACAGGATTTTGCTGTATTTGTCACAGCAGCTCACAAGCTACATAGCAAAATCCTCATCCGGAAACGCAGGAGACACGCGCTTCGTCCTATTAAGACATCCTTCGATCCCCTACTGGGGATTGATCCCATGACCATTAGAAGCTGACGCCAACTAACCAGCAGCTTTAGCTACTGAACCATAGTTGGCATCAGCCTTTACCGGTCATGGGTTTGATCCCCAGTAAGCGACCGGGGGAATGCACAACACTGACTAACCCCAATAAGGCGAAACGCACGTCTGATGCTTTTCCGGATGGGGATTGTGCTATGTAGCTTGTGAGCTGCTGGGACGAATACATTAGTTTTACAACTAAAATCCCCCTACTCAACAGTAACATACAGGATTTGTACAAAACAAACATAGCGAATACTGTATTCTTGGTTCGCTTGAATAATCATCGGTACGATAGCCAGGCTGCTTTATCGGTATTTATCGCGCATGCTTTGTTGGAAATCACTCACCGACCCATATGAGATAGAATGCGGTGTTCCACAGATCTCGGGACTGGGACCGCGCCAATTCCAAATGTCTGTCAACGACTGTGCAAGAGTTTTCGCTTCGAATTTTCTGCTTCTCACCGATGATATGAAGAGATTACAAGCGATTAATAGCGGTGAAAATCACGACTTTTTCCAACGTGATCTGGATCGCGTCCATGAACGTCAAACGAGAAGCTTACTACAGTTTGACACAGTCAAGTGCACTGGGATCCAATGGAACGATGCATTTATCACGAATATAGAAGCAAACGCTTAACAGTTTTCCACAGCTAAGGAGTGAGATCAAACATGGATATATCAAAATAAATAAAAGCATGGTGGTGGGCCTACCGCAAATCTCATGCGTATACAGAGTATGGTTACGTTGTCACCTGCCCCACTAACTTTGGTTAAACCATGCAATGCAGATGAGATAATGCATAATCAAGTTGAGTTTTGTATACGGACAATCTGGGAGCGGATGTAACAAATGTGGAAGTAATGCGGCTGACATGCACTAGATGAAAACCCTTCTGATGGCATCCCAACCGGCTATATTGTGTCGCCAACTTCAAACAGTGCCCTTTCAGTGAGGTGTTTTGGCTGAGTTTCCAGGTGGGTCAACATGAGTGATTAGAATCCTTGAGGATCTGATACACTAATATAAGATCACCTAGCAGAGACCGATATTGCTCACGGAAAACTTCCACATTCTTTAGTGCAAACAAATTATGACCGTAAGGTAATCTTTTAACAAGGTTTGTCGTTCTCCGTTGTGGATTCTCAAAAGCAGTAAGGTCATGTTTTTGCCAGAGGTGCCACACGTGTATGGCTTATTCTACATGTGTCCTCGTGTAAGCATTTAGTATTTGTGAAATGCAAGTATGATCAAACCACACTAACTCCCTTCGTAGTAGCCCAAAGTGTTAGCCAGAACTTTTCACTGCCTTCTCGGTCAGTACTGAGCATCCGAGATCATCCTTCACAAGCAACCCAGGCTTATTCTCACAAAAAGTGCGCTGTAGAACGTGTGCTTCTAATCGAACTTTGTAGGTGCTGTGGTGGCATTTGCGTATTATTTTGCACCTGACACAGTTAAAACCAAGCATGTTCTGAGCCAACCACTCATAAGCCTTGTGGTGATCACCTTGTAGTGTTGTGCGATCATCCACTAGTCTGATTGCCCCCCCCCCGCGCAAAGTGCAGCAAGTTCGATGTCAAAACTCACGTGAGTCCGTTTATGTACACCAAGAATACCCGTGGTCTTAATACCGAGGTTTGAGGGACGGCGCAGTGCATCTATCAGGTCGCACAGGGTGCTACGTAGCCGCACATGCAAGTGTCCTTGTAGTAGGAATAAAAGAATCCAGCCCAGGATAGGGTCATCGATCCCATCGCTCCGTAGCTTGTGAAGAAGAGTCCGGGTAATCTAGTAGATCAAATGTCTTCGAGAAATCAAGATAGGTGGTCTCATTTCCTTCTCTTCCATTAACGGATTCCGTCTGTGTGATTCCTCCGTTCCAATCCACTCGGTCGTGCGTCGTGAAGGTGAATATAGAGCTTTCTGCAACTGGCGTCTCATTGACGGCCTCGGATATCCACCGTCTAGTAACTTGCTCACCACCTCCTTACCAACGGCCTTCCTGTCCTGTTCCCCAGTACACAGAATCTGGGCTCTGTTAACTAGAGTGGGCGCGATAGCAGCGTAGGCTTCCAATGGATGAACCGAAATGTAATGGACAACTCTGTCCGTATATGTCGGTTAGCAATATATCATCTACTTGAATCGTCTTACATTCCTATGAACTAGGTAATGAAGGAATCAGTGTGCCACTGCAAAACTACAGTTCCATAGTAGCGTTTGTATTCTTATTAATGGAGTTCAGATGGTTTAGTATCTCTTCCTGCATACTCGACTTTATGATCACATATCTATCATCTACGTAGCGTCTCCAAATCTTTGGCGGAATACTG